TTTTATGCTAATAAAACTACACGTAAATATATCACTTGAATTATTAGTTATATATTACGGATTATTATTGTTATTTTTGTTTTACTTATAAGAGCGCCGGTACGGATGATGAACGGAATTCATGTGATGGAGTGAGTGGAGCATTAATCGAGCCCTTTCTGATGATGCTTTTATGATTAATTAAACGTAATGATGACGCTCTTCGTGAGCAATGACCCGGTCTAGACAATAAACCACCTCCTGTGTCTTGCACCCGAAAATAGAACTTCATTTACTTTTTGTAACTCTTTTTTTTATTTTAAAAATAATAATAATCATGTGCGGAAAAAAATTATAAGTGTGCAGAAATTGTTGTGTAAAAATTACACGGTCATTTATGTGAAAAAATAAATGTCAAATTTGTAAAAATTGCTTGGTTAAATAATGTCATATTTACAAAGAAAAATTATTTTACAGGAATTAATATATAAAGATTTCTGGAAAAAAGAATGTTAAATTATTATATAATGTTATTTATTGATGTTTATATAAAATTATGTAAAAGTTTTGACGCTACATTTTTCAAATGTAAAATTTATATTTTTCCTTATGGAAAATTCCATGTCTAAAAATATAAATTTAACAACTTTTTCTGTAATCTATATTATTAAGAGAATAAGCAAAAGTTTGTGGCCAGTGTATTTATATGAGAAAATGGATTTTTATGGTTAAATTTTGTATCGTTGGAAAAGTCTTGATCTTTACTTTTTAGTTTCATATCATTTTTACCATTAGTCAATTTATGATGATAAGTATTTAGGCTGTATTCGAAAATGCTCTACTTCTAGATTCATAATTAAGAAATGACCTTGTATCTCGTGAACTATTGACATTTTTAAAGATATAAGCTCATTCTGATGTTACACTCATCGAGACCTTCCATTTGAGTACCCACATCAATTTTTCATATATTTATATATATTATGTATATATGTATATATGAAAAATATATGAAAATGCATGTGGGTACTCAAATGAAAGCTTTTGATGAGTGTAACATCGGGATGAGCTTATATCTTTAAAAATGTCAATAATTAAGAACTGACATTGCTATCTTGTGAACAATTAACATTTTTAAAGATATAAGCTCACCTCAACATTACACTCATCGAGATCTTTCATTTGAGTACCCACATCAATTTTTCATATATTTTGTATATTCGTATATTCGTGTATTCATTTAATTACAATAGCACTTACAATTATGCAATTGCAAGAACTGATGTACAAATTTAAATATGTCAATAAATACCTTTAATAATAATAATAATAATAGTAATAATATATCACCTAAGAATCCCCGAATTAAAGAAAAGAATTACCAATAGGTAATCCAGATATTTATTACCATAATCTTAATTCGAGATTTTCCAAGAAGCCACCCGCCCACATTACAGGGTTCAAAAATCTCATAACTCATGATATGACTCGACGTAACTATACAAAAAAATCTAAACTGTTGATAAATTGTGATGATCAGACGTCCGAACGGGGTACAGGTCCTGATTCTTGGATCATTACGAAAAGTAATGCCTTCCACGTTTAATAAATACACAGGAATAATTATGTCTTTTACAAAATTAGTGACAGTTATACATATCTACTAGCTGGGTACTTAATTGATAAGTTTGTCTATCAATAAAATTAGCTATCTGGATATAATCTTGTCGAATTAGCTTTTGAGCAGTCTCCGTTAAACTAAAACCCGATTCTGATTCCGATCAGAGATTACACCTTCTACCTCTGACAATATTATACGGAGCTAGCTTGTTTACAGGTATCTGGAATCCGAGGAATCCGGTTCTTCATTTTATTACATTAGATATACATATAATACAATACAATATAATAATATAATGTAATATAATACAAAACTATTAAAAGTTAAGCTATATAATATAGTATAATAGTATTATAGGTACTGCATGTCTGTATTACACATTATCTTGAGCAACCTTTGTGAATCGAAATGTCGACTTAACTTTTTTAGAATGTACATAGTTTTAAACTTCGAAAGGAAAAAAATTAATTTTAAAATAATTAAAAAATTTATTTTTTATTTTTATCGACAGCCTGATATTGCCATAGATAATTTTATTAGACCATTTATAGCCATATCAAGCCATATAATGCTAAATATAGAAATTAGCTATAAAAATGGTCAATTTAAACAATTTTTTACCGAATTATTACTGTTATTACTGCCCTGAATAATTTTAGTTTAATCAACAACCAAATCAATTTTAAATGTTGCGTTAATTGAAATACACTTTTATAAAAAACATATTAAATTATAATAAACAATTTTTTTACTCTGATAAAGAGTTTGATATGGCCGTATAAGGTCATATGTGCATTTAGCTATATATACAAAAATTATGCATTAAATATATATTCAAAATTTTTCCACGGGTACAACATCTTGCACTATAATATACACTGAAGATAACTTAAAATTTACTTCTGTGCATACAAACAGGTGTTCCCAGATCTGACCCAGGTAATCCCGAGATTAACGATTATCCTGTTAATATTGATGAAAAGTCAGTCGAGCAAACTGTAATTGTTAAAACTGCACCTTAAGATTCAGGCTCACTCGAGGTTTGACAGTTTTCAAATCCTTTGGGTATATATATATACTCTGGCAATTACAAATATAACCATAATCTCGGATAAGACAATTAAATCCGGCACTTGCTTCGTCATCACCCAAAAATTTGCTGTTTACACAGCATGTTAACAAGTCAAACTCCTACTCTTCGTATACACATACTATTTTATCAAAGCTAATCCTTTTTGGTCGTCCTAAGATTCGGAGATCATCGTCAACATTTACCCACAAGTTTGACTGATGTCCAAAAACTTATAAACTACTCGTCTTCAGACCTAAATTCTAAAAAGATTATATTATTATCCACTATTGTTATTATTTTTAGTAGAGTTTAAGTCTCACGTTTGGAAAAATTATTTTTAAGGATAATTCATTGTTTTACTTTCGCAAAGGATAATAAGTGTAGCCTTTAACCAGTTGCACATAATCTTCAAATTATCCAAAAATACTAAAGCAACAATTCTGAAACATTTCAAATTCCTTTATCTAGGATTGAGAAGAAACGAAGATTTTTTTTTTGGTAACAGGAGAAATGAAGGACACTTAGGATATTTTTTTTCAATGTTTCGAAACTTTTAACATCATTTAGAGGAAAATTTTTGGTACCTAGAAACAATAAATAAAATTTAAGGCACAATTCTTTAAATTTAAAATCCTTTTAAGAAAAATAACAAATTTTTTTTAAGGTGAAAGTTTGTTTATTTTTTTTTACCTAATAAAAATTTTTATAATTTTAAATTTAAAAACTGACAATTTTATTTCAGGCTTGAATTTTTTTTGCATAAATTTAAAATTTAAAAATTTATTTATTTATTATAAGCCTGAATTTTTTTGCATAAATTTTATGTTTAGAAATTTTTCTCAATTTACATAATGTAAGTTAGTATATATTTGGGAAAATGGTTTTCATTTAAATAAACATTGCAAATTTATTGTCCAACATATATAATTATTTTAAAAATAAAAATTTAAAATTAGAATGAAAAAAAAAATTATTTTTTTTACTACATTTGTTTCAATAAAATTATTATAGAATAAATCATATTTTCTAAAATAAAAAAACTAATTAGCCCTAAGTACTTAAAAAAAAATAAAGTTAATTATATTCACTAAAAACTGTTCATAGTTCGAGTAATCACACTTTTCACACGCTATTCAGTTAAAAAATACTCGTTAAAAAAAAATTAAATACATTATTTACAACACTTTTATTATCAACGCAAGCTAAAAAATCCTCTAATAAAGCCGACTAAAATATATCGAGCGTTCATAAATTTGAGTAAAGTCTATTTGTACAAACATTTACACTCTATAATAGACACAGTAATTTACTGCCACTCAGATAATTACTTTAAAGCCTCAATAAACTACACAAAGAGAGAATGAAAACCACTTGAGAGTTTAAAATCTAAATTTTCTATTATATCTTTTGAAATTAGCAGTAAAATTTCAATTTAAACCTTACACTCAAAACAATACAAAATATATAAATACACTTATTTCAAAAATTTGTTTACTTATCAGTAAAAACCTTAAGTACAATCTAGACATAATTGTCGCCTTTCCGACGCCAGGCCGAAAACTCACTACTTAAAGTCCGCAAACATTATTAAAGAAGATTAAGTGTACTTAGCAATCGGCAAACAACTGACCCTTAAATTTAAAAATTACTAAAAACACTTTACCAACACGATGCTTAATGTTAAAAAAAAATCAAGACCCATTACTTCTAAATAATTAACCGATTAATGCATAAACTATCGAAATTAACGGTATCGCGTAATTAGCGTAAAAAACTAACGAGAAAATCGCAAAAAAGTACCTTAAAAAACTCAGAAACCACACCAGGAGGCGGAGTAGTCATGCGCGATAAGCAAAACCCCGCCCTGGAACGCGTTAACAGGTTCCTCGCGATTTATTGGACACCATCCGGCGAATCAGCGGCTGGTACCAGCAATTCCTCGCTGTGATTAGTCGGTCGGGGGCTTGGAGTGGGGACGGGTGGGGGTATAGCGTCTGTTTGGCAGCTCAGTCCCCCTGCAGGGCAAGCTCCTCGAACTCCTCAGTCCCGCTGTGAACTCAGCAAGGAACGCTACGGATATTCTACCTGTTTAACCCAGTACCCAGTGTCGCCTTTAACTCCGGATTATAATCTCGACAATAAGTTTACTTGGTAATTTACCCGCTAGTGCTTTATTTTTTTATTGCAGTGTTTTGGTGTTAATGTGCGAAATGACATGTTATGTGATTGTTGATAATCAACCGATTAAAATTAATTAAACAAACATCAAAGTGTAGCGTTAGTATTAATTAGTTTAGGTTAATTTAATTTAAAAAAACAGATTGCAAAATGATGAACTCATTTTTGGAATCGGTGCCACCCCACCCGCACCCGCACCACTTGGCAAATTTAGGAATAAAATTATCCCCGGGTCCTAACGACGTTTTGGGAGACAACAATGTGGTGCAGCCTTCGCCTGGTGAAGCACCTTCGTCCCAACAGCACCATCATTATCACCCACAAAGTTACCCAGGACACCACCCGGCCCACCCAGCCGGACACATACTTCCACACATGGGCCACCACCCAGGGTACACGACTCGCGATTTTATCCTGAGGCGCGAACACGAATTCAACGCGACGGCAAATCCAACTACTCCGGAGAGTGGATTGGGACTGTTCACGCCCCTGCACCATGATGGCTCTGGAACGGGCATGCAGCAGTTCTCTCATCATGGGCAGCACCATCCCCTGGCGGCCAGCCACTACCCGGGTCACTATGGTCAGGACGCCAGACTGCCCCATCACCACCATCAATACCTGGGGCCTCCTCATCCAGGCCTGACGCCCTCGATCCACCAGCAACACCCGGTGAGCCACCCGAGCCACCATCCTCATGGAGCTTTCTTGAGGTACATGAGGGGCGGCGGGTCCGGGTGTGGTGGCATGGCCCAGAGACAGGAGATGTCCTGCATGTGGGTCAACCAGGACGACAACCCTGCCACCGGGAGGAAGCTTTGCGGGAAACCTTTCAATACTTTGCAGGACATTGTCACGCATTTGACGGTGGAACACGTGGGTGGACCCGAATGCACCACGCACGCGTGCTTCTGGCAAGGCTGCTCCAGGAACGGCAGGGCGTTCAAGGCCAAGTACAAACTTGTCAATCATATTCGTGTTCATACTGGAGAAAAACCGTTCGCTTGTCCCTTTACTGGCTGTGGAAAGGTTTTTGCGAGGTCCGAGAACCTTAAGATTCACAAGCGCACGCATACTGGTGAGTTTATTTTTTTAATCATCCTTTTAATCGTGAAATTTGGGGAATATATGGTGTTCTTTTTTTATTGGGACAATTTGAGGCTAATTGGACTGATAAATTATCATGCTAGCGTAATTGGGATCGTAGATGATATGTTGTGATTACACATCATACACAGAAAATAATTTTGCGTCATTGCGTCAAAAATTTAGTGTTAAATATTTAACACTTTTTTGTGTTGATTTAACATTTATTATGTTAAATTAACACAACATTTTTTGATGCAATGACGCAAAATTTTTTACTGTACTTTATAGGACATGTTGGCGAGAGAAAAAAGTAATTTTGAAAAAAAATGAACATTTTTGTGACAAGATATTAATGTAGAAAAATAACAATTTTTGATAAAAATTGTTTTGTTCCAAATCTAGAAAAATGATTTTCAATAAGAAAGTTACTGTGAAAAAAATTTGATTTCTTCAACTAAAAAATAAAAATTTCTTGTGATAAGAATGACCAGTTTTTTTATTTGTGAAATTTTTTAGGTAATGAAAAATTTACTCATCCAAAATATGAATATTTATTCAATTTAAAAAAATTGCGAATTACTGGTAATATATAATTTGGACATCTAGAAGGTGTAAATATTAACTGTCAATTTTTGATTTTTTGCTAAATCAGTTTTAGAGAGTGTTTACTGATTGATAATAAAAAATTAAGTCATTTATACTAATTGCGTAACAATGTATGACGACTACATATTTTGTGTAGTTCATAGGAAAACTTTTAATGTATTGTACACAAAAAATTTATATACAAACAAAACACTTTACGGGAATAAATTAGTTTGGTGAAGGTTTAAAATTCGTTGGTTTAAAAGTATTTTGCTGCAGTAAGTCAGTTCAATAAATTGTTGTTAAACTAGTTTAATTATTTTTTTTAAATAATTAATGGTAAAATAAGCTACGAGTTAATTTCGTTTTTGCAATTTGGCTTACTTTGTCAAAATAATTAATCAATTTATTGTTACAAGTTAACTCGTTCACTGCTAAAAAATTTTTTCTGTTAAAAGAATACAATTTCTGAAAGCAAAATTGACCGTGTCAGTGAATTTTTTCATCAAGAATCTAACAGTTTGTTAAAAAACTTAAAACACACGTGCTATGACTAAAAGAGTAACTTTAAAAGTTGAAGCCAGTATTTCCGCGTAAACCAATAAGATATATATTTCTGTTCTTCTCGTTGATGTATTTTATAGGGGTTTTTAATTTTGTTTACCTTGAATCACATTTATCGAGTGGAAAAGTACTATTGGAATGTTTCCATGTGTAGCGTTATTAATATATATGAGAAAAAGGTTTCCAGACACGCCTCCCCCGATACCTGGGTTTTAAATCTGGTCCGAAGGACTTGCACACACAATATACATAAATATAAATATAAATATACAAATATATCACTGAATGCCTGTTCATCACCGATCGATTTATCCGTCCATGTGTAATCGATATTAACAATCTCGATTATCTCAAATTGGTTGTATTGTGTCTCAAAACGATGTATCTTACACTTATCACTACACATTAATATTGGATTATTATTATTATTATTGTTACTATAAAATAAAAAAAATTACTCATTTATTTAACTTTTGAATTTTTAACCTTCAATTCAAAATTCTAGGGCAAATATTAAAGTCATAGAATTTATCCGCAGTTTTCAAAAGTTTAAAATGTTTATTGCGGCTAAAATATTGGAAATAAAAAAAAATTACACAAGACATTTCTTGTAGAGAATTTTCTACAAAATAAATTCCCATAAATTTTGCCATAATCTTCAATTCTTGAGCCATGATTTTAAAAATAAAGACTCAAAATTTAACTGTCTTACGTAACTATTAATTCTTTTAATTTATAAATATTATTATGATTTTTTTTTCTACATACGATAATTATCAGCGTATTAGTCTTGTCCCTAATTGATGTGACGACTATTGACTATTCTTAACCGACAAGTTGATTGCAAAATTGAAAACTAAATCCCTAATTATCGGCATTAACTATCAATTAATTTGATATTCGAAGAAAAAAAAAAATTTTTCGCCGATCAAAAGATCATACGGACAAGTAAGAGGCCAAACATTAAATCGGTCTTGGCGCGAAGCATAAATAGGGTTTAATTTAATGCAATAGCGCGTGTTTATGATGACAAGAATTTTGTGGTCACAATTAAGAAATTACCGGATCATATATCGTGGCTCTTTATGTTTAACGTGAGGCCCGTTGGGCCTGCTTCACTGAATATCAACATTATATTAACATAACTATATAATATGTGTGCACATATTCGTGTTCAAAGCGTATAGCAGACGTCCGAGCTATATGTAGCATGAAAGCAGCTTTAGAGTCCGTCGGACCGAGTTGAATCCTCGCCGTTTTCTCTTATTCTGTCCATATAATAATATAATATCATCATTTTTTTTCTAAACTTCGATCTAATCGGTCGCTAGATTCCTCCCTGGAATTTTTTAACTAAATTCCTCAGATTCTCATCACATAAAATAATTGTTACATAATTCGAGTTTCGTCAGCCGGTACCGGGAACCGTTTAGAAGTTTTAGATTTTAGGAATTTTAGATGCACGAATCGGATTGTTTGTTGTGAAATTGTAATGGTGATAATTTATAATGATAAACAATTATCAATTTGTAGAATTTGGTCGATAAGTCAGCTCTCATTTTAATAACTTTATCACAAACTAAGCAAAATTATAAGTATATTTTAAAAAAAAACTTATTACACACATTCATGATTTATCAATTATTTATTTAGTAAGTTACAAAAATTTAATACAAGACAGACTTGAGCATCTTTTAAAATTTATCTATTACAAACTTTTAATATAAAAAAAAATATTAAATTTTAATCAATTAATTTTTTGAAATTTGAATATTATAAAAATTTTTTTCAATATTCAGAAATAAAAAAACAAATTCTTAGCTTTTAAAAAAAAATTTATTTTGACTTAAGAAAATATTTATTTTGATTAGAAAAAAAAATTAATAATAATTATTAAAATTTGAGGCTTGAATTTTAATTCTTTAAATTAACAATTCCTTCTAAATTTTTTTTCAAAATTTATTTACTCCAAAATTTTTTATTTTATTTCTTACTAAATTTTTAAATGAAAAAAAATTAACAACTATTTTTTGCAAAATAATTAAAAAAAAATACTTTTGAGTTTTACAATTCTAAAAACAATAAACTATTGATTATAATAATAATAATTATTATTTAAAAAAGTTTTGTGTAAATAACAGCGATAATGTGTGACGATAGTTACAAGAACATATATCACGCATGATTAAATTTCATTTTAATTTCTGCACGCGCTGTTCTAACGCCCACCCTAGATTGTAATCCAAAGAACGAGAGGTCACATATATGTATTGTACAATGTACATGCACACACATCTATCCGTGCAAATTTTATGTACACATATGCAGAAGTGTATAAAAAACAAGAGGGTGAGAATTGAACCCGAGGGTATAAGCGCAGTACAAATAAACCCTTCGATCCTCGAAAAAGCGCCACCGTTTGTTTTTTAATATTTAGTTTTCGTTTGTTAATTCCATTATTCCTTTTTGGTGATTGCATTCGGACAAATTGGCATTTTTATAAACAAACACTACATTTTTTTCGGTTATTCGACTCCGTGGTCCCTTTTGTCTCTTAAATTGTTTCACCGGTTAAGTATTTTTATTTGTGTGTGCTATACACAGTATTCGGTTTACTTATGCTTTGCTTTACATTTATGATCAGCAAAAAGAATGACAAAGAAATTTTTATATGGAGCAATTTCAAACAAAGAGATGCTTTTTGTTATTTTTATTAATAAATTTATTTACATAAATTTTTATGGAATTTTAATATCAATTGTTAATAAAATTTTTTTATTTAAATCTTGTTTTTGGAAAATTAAAAAAAAAACTCCTTTAAATATAAAAAAAAAAAAATTTATCCCTTGTGTTTTATTTTAGCAAATTTTTAATTGAATATCTTAAAAAAAAAATTTTTTTTAGCACAAAATTAAAATCAATTAAAAGCAAAAAAAAAAAAACAGTGATTCATTAAAAAAGTAAAATTGTCTGAGGCATTGTCCCCGCATGTGAAAACTATTCATTACCATAACCCTGTCGTATATTTTTTATTTAGGTGTGTGGACAAGCCCCTGGCCTACTTAACGCTTATTCCAACACCCTACACAGCGTAGAGACACCGAATGCATCCCCTATCATCTCCCTATTCTTAGATGCTTTAATAATGTCCGCGTTCGTTCTTATATATCTATATGTTACACGTCTATATAACCCTCAAATACCCGGGACCAATAGAAGACACTTTGAAGGGAGAATCCTATTGTTGGCTCGACCAATCACGCTTTCGCTGATGATCATCATGAATGTAAGGGATGCTGTATATTATACGTATGGCGACAACCACGCCGCTTTATATAACGCATATCAATTCTCTTCTAATGGCCGGCGTTTGTATATCCCATCTGCGGATTAGTTTCCTCTCGTTCCGTGATAAATCAATAATGCACTTTTAATTAAACAATTTCATTTATTATCTTAAAAAAAAAATATTTTCAGTTTCAAAATTCAGCTGACAATTTTATAAAATCTTTAAATACAGAAATTTATTTTTCTGCTTGATAAAAAAATTCAATTTTAAAAATATTTATTTGGATTTAAAAATATCTTTCTTCAATTAAATAATTTTTTTTTTTTTTTTTGTTTTAAGTGGGCCAATTATAAAAAATTCTAATTTTGCTCTACTTTCTTTCTACAGATCAATAATTACGCTTTAATTTATAGTTAAAAAAAAAAAAAACAAATATTGTTTCGCGTGCGTAAGATTATTTTTTCATTGGTCATTAATTCAGCGATAATAATTATAAATTATGAATAAATTCATAATTTTAATTGAAATAAAAAAAAGGCGTTTCATATTTATGTGCTAATAATAATAATTTTGTACAAAAGTGTGTTTTTAAAGTAATTTATTAAGCTCACATTTTCTCGTCAGCCTTCTTCAGTAAATAAAATGTTTTTGTATTATTCCCTTTGCGATTACCAGGAACGATTTTTTGTGATTTTCGCGTGGACTCCCCAGTGAGGTTTGCAAGCTACCAACTTAAACACACGCGATATATAATGAATACGGCTAGAGCCGACGCCATCTTGAATATATCTGCAAGCCTGCCACTTCTTTGTATCATTTAAGAGTCGAAGGATTATATATTTTTCCTTAATTTAACCAAGTTCTATCGTACCGACATCCTCTTTTCTTCTCGTCTTTCTTTATATTTATATTTATTAACTCACCGTATTATATCTTTAATTGCCGTCTCATTGTCGGGAGTAACGATCTGCAGACAATTAAAATTTACCCGAGAAATTTCGCTCTAAGAAGTAATTATGGCCAGAATTTTTGCCGTAATTTTAAAATAAAAATTGTAATAATTAATGGTGGTAAATTTTTGATATTACGGCGAAAATATTGTTTTTAAATAAAAGTTGTTTAAAAT